ATTATTAGTTTTTAATTATTGTGTAATTTTAATTGCGATTTTCTAGTTTTAGTAAATTTCAGGTTAGATTTTTATTATTGAAAAACAGCAACCATTTGATATGGATTTAGTTCTAAATAAAGAAAAATGGGCGAGAGTTAACGTTCGTTAAAAACTTAAATCACCTTTCGAAATGAAAAAGTACTTAAATTAAACGACCCGATTGTTTTAATTCAAATGAAAACAAATAATTGAAAATAATTATTTTATAACAGACTATGGTGAAAGACTTATTAACACTATTTTATATATTTTATTGATAATCTTAACTGAAATGACGAGATAATAAATTCCAATACTTGACTTGATACGTTTTCAGATGCTCTGTTGTAATTTAGTTTCTTAATAATAATATAATTGTTTAATATTTTACATATAAGGGTGAGGTGTCATTATTTCTTTCTACATTTACTTGAAATATTCAAGACCTTATTTCGTAGTCAATTATATAATTCTATGTAATAACCTTATTATTCAATATGATATTTTTTTATTAAAATGACTGGATGAGTTAGTCGATATTTCCATAACATATACAAACTATGAACCAAATTCAATTAACTATTTATAAAAATTAAATAATCCAGCATTGTTCACGAGGTTTTGTTTTTTCCATGAACCACATACCGATGTCCAAAAAACGTTTTAATAAAATAAATCAAAAAAAATATTGTATTTAAAATATCCACAGACCTTAAATTTAAAAATTAATGCAATTTTTGTTATTAATACATTAAAAACGATTGTATTAAAAGTGCATTATAAATATAATATTGTTATAAAACTTGTTTTAAAAAGTTATCACAGTCGCCAACGTTATCCTTTTTATCAATTTACACACAAATAATTGTTTAAAACCCCGGAAATTAGGTAAAAATTTGGAAATTTTGGGAAAAAACTGAAACAACGTAATTTTATTTTTCGAACATAATTCCGATATTTTCCATTTTTCATTGAACAAAAAGCCCTGGAAAACGTTGGAGACAAAACAACTTTTTCCGACTAACTCTATCTATATAATTATAAATATTCCATACTATATTTTAAAAAACAAATTATGAATGCAAGTATTTTAACCACAACTTTATAGTAGACAATAAACAAAAATTTTTATTATTTTAATTTATTTTCGAATATAATTTTATTTATTATAAACATTCACATAAAAAACCTATTATTATAAAAAATACCTATATTATAATTTTTAAAATGAAACTGCGAACATTTTGCAAAACATTGTATCCTGTTTGGGTCCCATTATCTTAATTCAACAATCTATTTATTTAATTGATGCCAAATATTTCTTATGCCAAAAATATTAAAATTAGGGTTTTGTCAATATAAACCAAATTATATATTATATTTTTTTAAAAAATGATAATTCTTAATCGGTATTGTTGATAATTTTGCTATGTTATACAACATACAATTATCGTATAGAGTCATTTGCTAAACGTTGTCTGGTCTGTAACGTTGTCTGCCGATTTTTAGACCATTATAAATGTAATATTTCGGGATTTTTTTAAAAAACCCAAAAATCGTTGTTTCAATATTTTTCCCAGTTTTTTTATTTTTACCTAATTCCTTTTTTTTTGAAACAAAAAACAATTATTATTTTTTGTCAAAAAGACAACGTTCGGGTAACAGACTACTTTTATCGACCGACTCTATAACTTTCTCTATATAACGTATATTTCTTAAATAAATTTTTATAATATAAAATAATGCTTTTACGTTTCTGATATCTTTATTTTGAAACAAATGTGTTTTGAAATTATTTAATAAATAAACTTTAAAATGAAAATAATTACATAACTTTATCAAACAATTCAAATTCATTTGTAATTCACTGCAGTATGCATACTCTGGGCAAAAACCATTTGCTTGACGCAACTAAAATGTTTGATTTATACATTAATTGTTTATTATGAATAATTTAAAAATTTTGTATTATTTTAATACAAGTAAGTAGTTTAAACCTTTATTTATATTAATTAAATACAAAACATCATGTTAATGTCTCTTTGTCTTTTAAAACTTATAAAAAACATTTTAAAATTAAATAACAATTTAATAATTTATTATAATAAAGTTTTAGTGTTTTTGGTATGAATTATTAAACTTTAATATTATAGACTATAAGAGATAAACAATTTCATCGACCAATTTTATAATTTCATTGTATTTCACATTTTACTCAATTTCAGTTGTTTACACAAAATCAGAGCTGTTTTTTGTTAAATATACACTATTACAAATCAACTGAATAAAATTGTAATAATTAATAAAAAATATTTAAGTCTTACATATATCACAGTTTTTCATATATTATAGTGAATTTACGATATTCTCAAATCACAAATATAAACAACAATAAAATTCATTTTCAATTATTCAAAGAAGACCTTAACCTGGTAATTGATTTTATTCTTTTTCAACAAATTTTCGAATATTTGAAGTGTCTCACCTCCTCCAATTGGGAACAAAGGCACGACGACTCTTCTGATGCTTCCGTTCATTTTTACTCCATATTTCAAATGTGTTGCTATGATAGTTTCACAGACCATTTCCGTGTCATTTCCAAACACTCCGCATCCAAGCATAGTTAACACTACATTCTCTCTTTTGTTCTTCATAGCAGTCAAATACGCCGCTTCATAACCACATTTCAGTGGCACTTCGACCATCGACATTTCCTTCTCTGCAATATCGAAATTGGCATATCCGCTTTTTCCTTGTCCGATATTAATAGCCGCAGCAAAGACCTGGTCGATCTTCTGTCTTTTCTGGTGTTCGACGACTTCTATCTTTCCGCTTCCAATTTTCATCATAGCAGTGACATTGCTGTGGATCGCCGCAACATAATTCTCCGCATCACTTTCAGTTATTTTCTTCTCTTTTGCAAGAAGGGGATACCCATTCACCACAGGAATTTTACTCTTCATATTCCCAAGAATTTCGACTTGGTGTCCGTCTGTCTGCCCCCACCTCGAGGAGTCGATTTTGTGATCATAAAAGGGAAAGTGAACTCGACAGATGGCTGCGGCGGGAGCACCAAGAGAAGCTATTGGGCCTTGTGTTCTGTCGTAGACGTAGTTAGTCGCGAAGTTTGGACTCTCGGGGGAAATACTCTCAGAAACACTCTCAACAGCATTGAAGTTCGAAGCAACTAAAAAGACCGAATTTTTGAATTCGGGAGTTAATTGCATGGAGGAGACTTCAACACGGTCGAGTGAGGAAGGAGTCTGACGAATGTATATCTCAAAGGTCGATGGAACGTCGGAGGAAGTCGAATATTTGCGAAGTTCTTTGAGAGAGAGCAACTCAAAGGATCCACATGAATAATCTTCATGAGTCTTGGAGTTGGTTATAATCAACTCGGGTGTGGTGTATTTGGAAGAATTGGTGTGGACTTGAATCGATTTGGAGTCGATAAATTCTTGTTCAGAAACACCAGTGATATACTTAAACCATTCAGTTGATGAAATGGTTGTGGAATCCTTTGACATTTGGTTGGAATTGTTATTATTTGAAGATCTTTTTATATTCGTTTTTAGTTTTATTTGAAATGTCTGTGTTATAATAATTGACACGGTATTATACCTAAATAATGCGATTTTGGATTAATAGAAATCAATTATTAAAGAAGAAATATGTGCAAAAGTTTTAGAAAGTGGTTATTATAAATTGTATTTTTTAATTATTTGAAATATATTTTATAAGTATTGATTGGTGTAATGATCAACGAATCATAGAAACTGTTTATCAAACAATCAATATTTATTAAAAAATTTCAAAATAATTCAAACAATTATTAAAATTGTTTAATTAAAGTAAACTAAAATTGAGTGTAGTTTTATATTTTTATATCAATTGTATGTATTAATTTTTATTTGATTAAAAACGGCGCAGAGATTGAATATAAATTGAATTTAACTAAATTACAGTATGGTCACTCTGTTTTATGTAAAACTTTGCCTTATGCAAGACTATTATAGTTAATTTATAATTAAAATTATTTATTATATATTTTGATAATTACAAACTAAAAACACCAAAATCAATTTCAGTTTTTACTTATTAAAATAATTTTTATTAACGAATATTTATGGATAAAAGTCTTGCATAAAGCAAAGTTTTACATATAATATAGTGACAATAGAATATATGTGAATAATTAAGTTAAAAAAGCTTAATAATATTAACTTTATTGTATTATTTAAAAACATTATTTATTAATTCCTTTTTTATTATAATTTATTTACAAAAATAATTCGAACAAGAATTCAATTGAAGATATTGAGACTTTTTTATTTAAAAAATAATGCCTAATTTGAACACTTTGTGTTTATTACGACCATAATCAGTTTATTTTCACATCGACTTCTTCACACGTAGATTAATTCAATGCACGGGTGGATTATTTTGGTGACAAATATTATTAAATAATAACTGCTTTTTGTGGGTTATTTGATGATGTTTAAAAGTTCGATTTTGTTGTTATTAATTCACTGAATTTAAATCCCACATTCAAGGTTTTAAATTGTGTTGTATTAATTAAACAATTGACCAAATGATTTGTTAAATTGCTTTCAGTTTTACTTTCTTTTGTGTTTGCTAAATCGATTTTTAATTAAAAAAACAAACATTGGGTGGTTGTTATCGATTGTGTATACTATTGACACAACCACAACAATAAATATTTGTTTTCGTATTCAAAACTTTATTTTTATTGACATGAATATAAAAAACAATAGTTTATTATCCATTGTTTGTTTTTACCTGTATTTTGATTTTTTACTTTAATGTTTTTAAGGTAAAAACATTCAAGTTTTTAAAAAGATACAAAAAGTTTTTGATTTAAAGCAATAAATATTATATTCTACTATATTTTACAAACCAGTTAAACTTTATCCCACATACTCTTTGATTTTCATAAATTATAAACACCAATTTATAATAAAAAACTTTGTAATTGATAATTGATCAAAAAGTAGTAAACTATAAATTTTTAATTTAAATTAATAATTTCTAGTTGGTGTAAGACATTGGAGATCAATGGCCGTTGGCTCTGATCATCATCCCAACATTGTGAAACCAGGTCGAACTCGTCTTGAGTGATACATTCCTTTTTTTAATAGACGTTTCCCTGAAATAACAAACTCGGCTATATTCCATAAAAATTTAAAATCAACTTTATTATACGGTTCAGACCAGCCAAATGTTTCATACATAGTAATTCCAAATGAATATATGTCTGATGATTTTTTATATTTTTCTTGATTTAAGACTTCGGGCGCCATATACACTGGTGTACCAATACCTTTAGTGAAAGTCATGTTAGTCATTAATAAGTTAATATTTCTTGACGATCCAAAATCAGTCAATTTTGCATTTACTTTTTCATTTGTATCAAGTGTAAACACGAGTATGTTGTCTGGCTTAATGTCTCTGTGTAATATCCCATTGTTGTGCAAATATAAAATTCCTTTAGACGCGTCAATCAACAATTTAACTCTTAATTTCATCTCAATTTCTTCACTCTTTTTGTGTTTCATCAAATCATTTAAAGACCCATACTGTGCAAATTCGGTGACCATACAGACTTCATTTGGTACAAACACGGCACCATAGAAATGGACTATGTACTCACTGCTAAATTTTTCTAACATTTGGATTTCTTTTTCAAATTCGTCCTCATGTGCTTCTTTGTTGATTAACATGTCTTTCATCTTTTTGATACAAACAACATTGCCTCTGAAAGTCCCTTTATATACAATTCCAAACGAGCCTTCATTTATTTTATTTTCTTCAATTAACTCGTGATAATCAAGACGACACGACATGACAGTTGTTGCTTTGATTGGTATTTCAATTACTTCTTGTGTCCCCTCATTGATGTTCAAAGTAACACACGCGATATTATCTTCAATTTTGGATGTAAAATTTGGCTTTAAAGATATTTCAAATTCACATGCATAATTTGGTTTCAACGTGATTAGGGGTGGAACGGCTTGTATTTCATAAACATCGTTTTCTTCTTGCATTTTCAGTTGCATTTTAATATTACAATTTGAGTTGTTTCCAAGACACAACAATTCTCTAGTATATTCATTGACTGGTATCTCTCCACTTTCAATTTCTCTACTAAATACTAACTCAGTTTTGTTTGTTAAAATGTTTTTTGATAATTTGACAAAATCAATGTTCGATTTTTTCATTCGGAAAATACACACGTCTCGTGTTTTCTTATTGTCTTGATGACGATTAAATACATAAATTATAACACAAAATAATGTTATCATAACAATCACGATAACTATAATGATAACTATAATTGGTATACCAATCTGCTTAAATTCTGTTAATTTGTTTTGAATACATGAAAGACCGTCATTTGATGGTTTTTTGTTATTTTCACATTTAACACAAAGTGAGTCTTTAGATGCCGTGCAAAATTCGATATCTGTATATAAAACACACTCTCCGTTTTTTAATACATTGTTTTCTTGACATTCTATGCATTGTGATATCGAAGAACAAGGCTTACAATTTGTAGGACATTTAACACAAAGAGGTGAAGGAACATCCAAGAAATAACCTTCTTCACAAACGGTACATCCACGCGATGTCTTGTGTTCACACCCAATTAAAGTGTCATAACTTTGACACAAAGGATTTAAAGGTGTATACAAATAGTAGTCATCTGCACAGTCATCACATGAAATTGCATTTTTGCATTTTGAACACGACGAGTCGCATTTGATACAGTCTTTGTTGTGATAGTAATATCCATCACGACATATAGCACATCCAGTGTTTTTCGCCATTGGAATTGCACACTTCTCAAGTAATATTTTAGAGTCTTAACACACATTTCCAGACATTAACAATAAGTTCTGTGTAAAGTTACAAGAAAGACAATTGGTCGTATTTGAACACGTCAGACAGTTGTTTTAACAATTAACACATTTTGTATTTTCCAAGTAAAATCCGTCACCACATTTAACACAACCTTTCGGTGTTTTTATTTTGCAATTTGATAAATCCGTTTTTAACATTTCTTGTTCAATATCAGAGTTGAATGTTTTGTGTGTTGTTTTGTGAATGACTTCTTTATAATCAATATTTGTTGAATAATAAGAAGAAATATGTTGGATATTTGTTTCAATAAGTGACTCACATGAATTATCAGATAAAAAGTGTGTTATATCGCATTCAAAAATAGTTTTGATGTTTTGTTGATTGAGTGAAATGTGCGTCTCGTTGTCAGATAAAGAAACGCAATACTTTTCATTTGAGATTGTGGAGTTCTTGTTGTTTTTATAGAAATGAAAAACACACTTTAAAGGGATTCATGAGGATTGTTAATTTTTCTGAGGATGGTAAATATCTTAAACATAATTTTTTTTCAATTTAGATTTTTTTGCCTAAGATCAAAAAGGTATATTTTGAAACACATGATTTTCTTTAAAATGCTATTTATGGATTTTTTGAAAGATGATTCTTGGTGTTGATTTTAAAAAAAATAATCTATTTCTATTTTCTGATTTACCACAAGACCAACTTTGGTTTATATGAAAACATTTGACAGACATATAAATTATCGAAAAAGTCGATTTTTTAATCAAAATCACAAAACAAATTAATCAAACAATTTTTAATCTTTTTTACAAAAATAATTTATTATAAATCAATTCATGATATTTCAAACAATAAAAATTGATAGCAAATAACGTATTAATAATATATACTCTATGCGATGACAATTTATGTATTTGCGCAAATTAAAAACGAGAGGTTTTGAATA